AATGTAGAGATTCTTTAATATCTGTGTACTTGTAGATATTTAAATATGATTTATTGGGCCAGTTGCATGCGTAGTTGCTATGTGACCTATCAGCATGTTTAGCAGATGAATTTTTGATTTGAAAAAAATCTTGATGTTTTCTATTCTAGTACCATACACATCTAATCTTCAATGTGCACTAGTAGACATTGCAGTTGTACAATATTTGTAGCTACCTTGAAATCATTACTTTATGTCAGTATCATGCCCCCTTTTCTTCTTTCTCACCATATTATTTTGTATTTATAGTATATATAATTTGCATTTCCTTATCTGTGTATATGTTGTGTCTTCTGAGTAGAACGTAATTACGGCTGTTGATGGCAATGAAAGTCTTTGTATCCTTCATGCCTGACACATAGCTTAATAAATGCCTATTGAATGAAGTCCTAGTTTCCCTGAAAATAGGGCAAAATTTGGAAAGACTTCAGATGGAGAACAAAGAGCTATGTTCATATCTTAATAAGGACTTTTGTCTGATTGCATTCTAATGTCATGCACAAATTATTTTCGAACATTTTTTTTGGTAATCAAGTATGGATTTTCTTTCCATCCTTCACTCCCTCATCCTCCCCATCCCCACCCCCTCAATTAAAGAAGAGAAAATCAAAATTAATAAAAATATACATAGTCAAACAAAATAAATTTTGACATTGACCATGTCCAAAAATATATGTCTCATTTACCTCTTGGAAAAATCCTCTCAGTTTGGATATGGGTAGCATGTTTAATCTTGTCCTCTGGAATCATGGGTGCTCACTACATTGATTAGAATTACTAAGTTTTTGAAAATTGTCTTTGCAATGTTATTATTACATTAATTATTCTCGTGGTTCTGTTCACTTCACTTGCATCAGTTCATATGTTACCCAGGGTTTCCCTGAAATTTTTCCTTTCGGTATTTTTGAAGCACAATAACATTCCATTATGTTTATATAACAGAATTTAAGTAGCCACTTCTCAACTGATGGACATCCACTTAATCTCCAGTTCATTATCACTATAAAACAACAACCATGATAAAACCAACAACAACAATGTGTTATATCATTTTCGGTCATGTCTATGTCTTTGTGTCACCTTTTCTGGGGGGTTTCTTCGCAAAAATACTGGAGTGATTTGCCATTTCCTTTTCCAGCTCATTTTTATAGATGGGGGAACTGAGGCAAACAGGATTAAGTGACTTGCCCATGGTCACATAGCTAGTAAGTTTCTGAGGCTGGATTTAAACTATGGTCTTCCTGACTCCATGCCTGGCATTATATCCATTGTACCATCTAGTTGTCCTAATAGAGTACTACTAGAAATACTTTTATACCTATGTCAAGTCATGGTATGATTAGGTAGGTGGTGCAGTGGATACAGTACCTGGCCTGGAGTCAGGAAGACTCATCTTTCTTAGTTTAGATCTGGTCTCAGATACTAGCTAGCTGTGTGACACTGGGCAAGTCACTTACCTCTGTTTGCCTCAGTTCCCCCATCTATAAAAATGAGCTGGAGAAGGAAATGGCAAACCATTCCAGTAACTTTGCCAAGAAACCCCCCCCAAAAAAAACCCCAAATTGGGTCATGAAGAGTCAGACATGACTGAAACAACTCAATAAGCACAACCAATCACAGTAGCACTGATTAAAGGATATAGCCAGCTTGGTCTTTGACTTTTGGACACAGTTAAGAATTATAATATTTTGATTGTAGCTCATATTAAAATAACAATAGCATTTTATATAAAGCCTGCTATATGCCAGGCAGTGTGTGAGTGCTTTATAAAAACCTCATTTGATCCTCACAATAAACCTGGGAGGTAGGTGCTATTATAATTCACACATTATGGCTGAGTACAATTAAGGCAGACAGAGATTAAGTGACTTAGTAAATATCTGAGGTCAGATTTTTACTCACTTCCTCTTGACTTCAGGTCCAGTGTCCCATTCACCATAGCACTTAGCTGCCATAATAGAGTACCACTAGAAATATTTCTCTATATAGGTATGATCAGGGTATCACCACATCAAAGGGCATACACAACTTTAGCTTGGGCTTTCTGTACATAGTTCCAAATTGCTTTCCAAAATAGCTGGGACAATTCACAACACCAGCAACAGTGCATTAATGTGCTCCTCCCCACCCCCCAACTTCTTCAATATTCGTCATTTTCCTTTTTTTTAATCTTTGTCAAGTTGATGGTTGTAAGGTTGAATTTCAGAGTTGCTTTAATTTGAAATTCTGTAATTATCAGTGATTTGGAACATTTTGATATCCTTGGGTAATTTACCATTTTAAAATGAATTTTATTCTTATAATTTGAATTAGTTCATTGTATATCTTAGAAATGAAAACTTTCTTTATCAGAGAAATGTTATAAAGATTTTTCTTTAATTATTTCTTTTTAACATTAATTGCAGTGTCTTTGTTTTTGCAAAAACTTTTAATATTATGTAATCAAAATTGGTAACTTTATCTTCCATAATTCTCTCTATCCTACATTTGTTCATGAACTCTTCTATCTATAGATATGGAAGGTGATTTCTCTCTTGCTTTCTTGTTTATGAATTAACTTTTTATAGTTAGTCACATATCTATCTGGGACTTATCTTGGTATATGATGTGAGGTTATGTGATAAAACATTTTCCAATTTTCCCAGCAGTTTTTGTAGAACAATTAGTCTTCACCCATTAGCTGGGGGTGTTGGATTTAATCAAACATTAGGCTCTTGTACTCATTGACTTTTGAAGATTATATACTTAAATTGTTCCATTGCTCAACCTCTATTTTTTAATCAGTAAAAAATAATGTTATGATTAATGCTTTATAGTATTGTTTGAGGTCTGCTACTTCTATTTCCCCCATGGTTTCCCTTTAAATTCTTGATCTTTTGTTCCTCCAAGTGAATTTGTTTATATTTTTAGCTTAGCTCCCTAAAAATAATCATTTGGTAGTTTTATATAGTGATATAATATGTAACTTAATTTAGGTAGCATTAAGATTTTTATTATTTTGGCTTAGCCAGTCTATTAGCAATTAATATTTCTTCACTTATTTAGGTCTGTCTTTATCTCCATAAAAGTTTTGTAGTTGTATTCTTATCATTCATATGTGTATCTTAGAAGGTAGTCTCACAATTATTTTATACATTTTATAGCTATTTTAGATGGAATTTCTCCATTTTTTTCATTTTGTTGGCAATGTACAGAAATCCTGATGGTTTATGTAGATTTATGATGGTTAGTCTTCTCAATTAATTATAATCCAACTAATTTTCGTTGACTCAACTAATTTTGTTTCTTCTTTTCCTGTGCTTATTCCATAGATTTTTTTTTCTTGTCATTCTGATATCATTTCCATTTCTGGTAGCATACCACATGTAGTGGTGCCTGATCTTATTGGGAAGGCCTACATTTTATTGCCATTACATATAATAGTAGATCTGAGTTTTAGACAGCCACTAGTTATCATATCAGAGAAAGAAAGATCTATTTGTTTCTATGCTTTTTGATTTTTTCTTTTTTTTTTTTTACAGAAATAGGTGGTTTATTTTGTCAAAAGCTTTTTCTACAATTATTTATACAACCATATGATTTTTATTGTTCTTGTTTTGTTATTAATATGGTTAACTATATTTTCGATTTTCCTGACATTGAACCAACTCTGCACTCCTGGTATAAATCCAACCTCATGACAATTTATAACCTTTTTGATATGTTGCTGTAGTTTCTTTATTAATATGTTATTAACATTTTGCATCAATATTCAATATAGATATTAATGTGGAGTATTTTCTTCTACTTCAATTCTTCCTGATATCATAGAAGGAATTTAGTTGACCTGTCTTTTTTTTCCTATTTTTTCAAACAGATAATGTAATATCAGAATTGATTGTTCTTTGAATGTTTGATGGAATTTATTTATGAATGTATCAGGTTTGTGGACTTTTTTCTCCTTTGAAAATTCATTTATGGCCTGTTCAAGTTCTTTTTATGATATTGTATTATTTATGTTTTCCATTTCTTACTCTGTTTAACTGGGAATTTCATATTTTGGCAAATATCTACATGTCTCTCCACCTTGTTCACAAAGATAATGGGAGGGATTTTGTGAAATGCTCTATTGAAATAAAGGTTCATAGAGTTGTTAGAGTATTTCACAGACCTACCAGTCATAAGAGGAAATGAAGTTGAATGAATAAAAAAGTATTTATTAAATGCTTACTATGTGCCAAGTACCAAGCTAAGCACTAGAGATACAAATACAAAAGCAAAAATGGTGTCTGTCCTTAAGGGGCTTATAGTCTAATGAGGGAGACAACACACAAAGGAAAATGATGGCCAAGGAGAGGCACTTTGATTATGGGGATGGTGATTGGGCCATAGTGGAAGAAATGAACACATCTTATCCAGGAATAATGCAGAGGAGATTTAATTATAATTCCTGGTTCTAGAACTGGCAGGGGTGTAGGTGGAGAAGAGACTAGGAGGAAGGTGATAGCCAAAATCGGGAGTAAAATGTGGCATAGTTGGGACTTTTCCTGAAATAATGGTTGAAGTAAGGTAGATAGTGTAACCTCACTGATGACAGACTATTTTATGGTTTTTGTTTGTTTGTTTGTTTTCTTATGCCCATGGCCCAGCCCAGGGCATTGCTTGTGGTGGCTATTTAATAAATGCTTGTTAAACTGAACTGGATTAGGCTGACATGACTTGTTCTTCCAACTGATCACTGATTCCCTTTCAAAGCACTCATGAAACATTCCTGTGTGCATCACAATGAGGGAGGAATTCTAAGCTTGGATTCTTGCTTCCATTTTAATTACCAGTGTGGTTTCTGTTTCTGCCACAGGTACTGTAGCTTCTGTGGGTTAGCTAACATAGTGAAGCACTTTGGTCATGGCTCTGGCTAGTGTGCCATAGCTGATTTCACTACCTGATTCTAGTTGTCTGTCCTTTGATATCAGAAGACTTACTGCTTTATGTACATCTTGTGGGTGAAATTCCATCTTCCCATCTTGGCAATGCCACAACAAGCCCTATAAATAATATATATTTTTTTTTAGATTTACAGAACATTAAAGTAGAGTTGAATTGAAAACTCTAAGAAAATTATGGGTTCTTAGTTACCAATTATGTTCTGAAAAAATAAAGATTGAGTTTCCTAAGTTCTCTGTAGGTCAGATAACAATTGAACATGCATAGCATCAGAAATCCTGAAGCCAAGGGGAAAGAAATAACTTTTATCCAACTTGGTGATTGGAATGAATCTGTCATTGACAATTTTCCTAGGGGTGGAATGTAGGCTGTCTTCATGTGACCTTCTCTGTCTCTTTCTTTTTCCTTTGTCAAAGAAGATAACCCAGGTTTCTTCCTGGCTTACTTTTCTCATTGCAAAGAATAAGAAAAAGGACTTGTAGTTCAATTAAAATAATAGTAATTTCTTTCTGCTTAATTTCTTTCTGGAAAAATACAAGTAAAACCAGATTTTTGGTGCTTTACTCCTCTTACCTCTATAAAAATTATTAAAAAATAATAAACATATTGGGTGCCTCAAACATCAAGGGATTTAGGGAGAACCAAATGGAGATATTTTGATTGAAGGCCTTCTTTATATACTAAAACCATTCCTTGAAGGCAACTACCTACTTTGACAGAAAGTCCATCTCCATAGGTCTAGTGCCTGATAGCTACTACTATTATAGAAATGTTTCCACTATCAGCTCAGAGAGCTGATTACAGCCAAATGATATGCGAATCAAATTTCTTAACCTTTGTATTTGAAGGTCTTTCTCCTGGTCACTTGTAGAATTTTTTTGTTTCTGAATTGAATTATTAAATTTAATCACTATGTGACTTATAGTTTGCAGCCTTAGGACTTTGCCCGCTCTTGAGAAGATCTATATATTCTTTCAATTGGAGTTTTATTTTCAGTATTCAGAATTTCTGAGAAGTTTTCTTCCATTAATTCTTGCATTATATACTGTTCATATTTTTTGACTTGTCATGCACTTCTGGGAGACTTAGGTGGTCTTTATGCACTCTGTCTTTGAAATCAATATGTATTCCTTGAATAGAGAGCATGTTTTCTTTTAATGTTATTATTTGTTTTTGTTTCTCTTCTTTTAGATTGTCCTTTACTTCTGTGTTTTTTCATTCCCAATCAATGGTCCTATTTTTTTTTAGTAAGACTTGCCATCACAAATTCATGTTTTTCTATTCTGCCAATTATTTCTGCTGTGCAAGCTATAAATTTTGCTCTCACAATTCTCATTTTTCTTTGAAATTACTCAAGAACAACATATTGTGATTCTATATTCTCAAAATTCATGGGGTCCCCAGTCTAATCAAGTGTTGAACTTTCCCCCTTTATTTTGTAGTATTTATTCTTAGATACCTGAATTAAACTTACTAGATCTGGAACCTCTATTTCCTTTTGTTGTTAAAATTTCCCTTGTTGGCTTAGCTGATCATACTAGAGATCTTTAACTTTTTCTCTTCCTAAGATCTTTGGAAATTGCAATTCCCTCCTATGCCACACTGCCTACCACCCTCCCCCTAGTTATTTTCCCTATTGCTCACTTTCTGTCTCTCTGCCCTCCAATGGTAGTTTCACTAGATGCTAGAGCTCAAAGTGTCTTAACTTAATTTTCTCCCACCAGTGACAGTTCATGGTTTACAGCCTAGGTCTCTGACCCACGTGACTTTTTTGGGTATAGATCTAGTCTCAGCTGGGTGTTAGGCTCCTTGCCTCAAGTTCAGTGGAGTTCCACACAATTTTCCACACAGGATGTTCTTTCCTGTTTTTTCTGTTTGTCAGTTCTCTGGCCTACAGAGTACTCACATCCTGGTAGTACTCTAGATTTGGGGTGATTTCTGTTGTTTGGAGTTGGCTCTCTGAGGCTCTGAGAGGAAGGCTGAAGTGGGGTGTAGGGCTGAGCTCTATTTCAAAACCAGAAATGTGTCCTGCCTCTTTCCCTCTGATTTTCTACTCTCATGCAGAGATCTTTTGCACAACAGAAAGCTACCATCGTTCTGGCAAAGTTCGACAAATTTCTCAAGTTGGAGTTTAGATCCCCATGGCACTAGAAAGTTGGAGCGGGAAACAAAATGTCTAAGATAGATATGTTTAACAATGACAAGAGGTTCTCATTCCCCTTGACTTACCTTCCTAAATCTCCTATTTAAGTCGAGGGAATCACTATAGTTCTAGTTACCAGGGATTCATAAAATCAAAACCATCTTGACTCATACATCCCCTTTACCTCCCTCCCCAAAATCCAAGTCATGTAATCTCTCCTAGATTAATGTAATAGCAACCTAATTGGTCTCTCTGTCTAGTCTCTCCTCCCCTTCATTCCATCCTTTAAATAAATGTTAGCATCTTGTAAAGCACAAGTCTGACCATGTCACTTCCTTCCTCAAGAAATTTCAGTGGTTCCCTATGCCCTCTAGAATAAAGTGCAAACTCTTCTGTTTGACATTTAAATCCTTTCATTATCTGGAGACAAAATATATTTCTAAATTGATTTCTCATTTCTCCCTTCCATATATTCCATGTTCCTGCCAAACTGGCCTTCATGTTGTTCCTCATGTATGACATTTCACCTCCCACTTGTGTACCTTTGTAGAGACTCCCTCTTGTGTCTGAATACGTTTCCTTCTCAGTTATGCCTCTTGCAATTTCCAGCTCTTTTCAAGGATCAAAGTGTCATATTCTACAGATTCCTCTAGTAGCTATTGCTTCTCCCCTCCTCCCCCATCAAATTACCTTTTACGTTGTTGGGGTGTGTGTGTGTGTGTGTGTGTGTGTGTGTGTGTACTTATCTATGTGCCTGTTGCTTGCCGCCAGTAGGATATAAGGTATTTGAAGACAAATTCTGTTCTGTTTTCCCCATTGTCTAGTGCAGTGCCTTGCATATAATAGGTGCTTAATTAATACGTGTTCACTTGAATTGAATTAATTCATTATCCATTAAGGAGTTAAAGAATCATAGGTGCTCATAAAACTTTCATTGGTCTATCACGATTCTATCTGTCAATGGCAAAAAAGCATCATTTACTTTAAAAAGGAAAAGAAAGAAAACACGAATATCTCTGGAGATATGGTGGTTATTTTTCCAGTAGATTTATTGGGAAGTAGTAGATGATTTCACAGGTTTAGTGCCTTAATGAAATAGGTACTTTTGCTGATACTTTATTACTCATACATGTCTCCTATTAATAAATGCTGAGACTGCAGAAGGAAAAAATAAAAGATGCTGCAGCATGTATCTTTATGGTATTGTAACATATTTGGCCATGATTATGAGTGTTTATAAAACATTCAAGAATTGTTCCTTGTCTACTTACATTAATGAGAACACCTGTTAACTTTAGCACCATACAGACTTATTTGCATGAGATTCAGGTTTTTGCATACTGTACATCACTTTTTGAAACAATTAGATGCTTATGGAGAAATATAGCCAAACGAAGAACAGCAGCTTGAATGCCTTGCGGCCCAATACAATTCAACTCCAGGTTTCAATGAAGAACAGAAATCTGCTGAATTACAATACTGCCAGTTAGGAGAGAATTTGAGGTGTATTTTATCCTTTTCACATTTAGAGTACAGCAGATACATATAACATTTGTGACTCAATCTTGAAGCAGAATTTCAGCCAAGGAAGAATGTTCCTATTACAAAGAATCCATAAGGGTAGAGTGACAATGTGAAATTTCAGTGTCTATAGTCTCTAAACCTAGCACAATTTTGAATTCTGTCTTAAGTCTCTGATAGTCTGAGCTCGCCATTAGTACTTCTTCTGACTGGGTAAGAAATCTGGCGGGCTTTTTTCTTGCTTCTCCATGTTTGTGTCCAACATCAAAGACACCATTTTATGTGAAAGGAATTTGATATGAAAAAAATACATCCTGTGAGAAACAGGGTATAGTGAAAAAGTGAGCAGGACCTCTAGGAGAGGCTTGGGTTTGAACCCTGCCTCTTACTCACAGGATATGAGTGGACCAGTCAATGAACCTCAATTTCCTCATCTATAAATTGGGGATAATAGTACCCATGGTACCTATTTCATGGAGTTTCGGCTAGGATCGAGAGATATTTCACATATATGCACACACATATATGTAAATTATAAAAAAAATCTTAAAGTACTATATGCACAACAGCAACTACTATAAGAGAGTAGGTTCACATAAGATCCATTGCACTATTCAATTAGAGGAAGCTAGGTAGTGCACTGGATAGAGTGCCAGGCTTAGAGTCAGGAAGACCTGAGTTCAAATTTGACCTCAGACACTTATGAGCTATGTAACCCTGGGCACTTCACTTAACCCTGTTTGCCTCACTTTCCTCATCTGTAAAATGACCTAGAGAAGGAAATGGAAAACCACTCCAGTATCTTTGCCACTAAATCCCCGAAGGGGGTCATAAAGAGTCAGACATGACTGAAATGACTGAACGACAAGTAGTGCAGTGACTAGAGCTTGGGACTTGGAGTAAGGTAGACCTGAGTTCAAATCTTCCCTCACCTACTTATCTGTGTTGGGTAAATCACTCAACTTCTGTATGCCACAATTACCTAATCTATAAAAATCTGTCTGCCTCAGTTTCCTCACCTGTGAAATTGGGGGGGGGAGATAATATTCATTCCTATCTCCCAAGGTTATTATAAAAATAAAGTGAGGTGATATTTGCAAAACACTTTTAATCCTGGAAAATAAAGCTAGATGAATGCTAGCTATTTAATTTCTAGTGATGACAGAATTCTCAAGAATGACACAGAACTGACCCAAAAAGAAAACACTCCTATAAATCCCTTAAGCAAAGGGGTTAGTTGTGCTGATTTCTTAGAAAAAATAACTCTTCCTTCCATAGGTCCCACTCTGCTGGCACTTGTGTCTGCCACTTCAAAGAGAACATTAGAGATGCTGTGATTAAAATATATTCTGTTATTGAAAAGAGAGCACTTGCTCCAGTCTGTGGATTCACAGCCGCTATTATCATCATTATATTTAAGAGGTGCAATATTGACAT